TCATACTAAATGTTTACTAATATCAAAGCTATTTTACAACTGAAATAACTATTACAATGAAAAGAAAATTACAACTCAAACTTGAAGAAATATTTACAATGTGCGATCGAAGTTGGGCAAACTGCGGCTGGGATAGTGTCAAGGGGCTAAGTGAAGCTGCGGTCCCTGACACCCAGGTTATTCTCACCTAGGACGTGACAGTATGAAGATAGTTTCTGAAAATTGTCATTTGGTGTCCCATGCAGCATGTGTAAAGCAACCACCTTCCCCCCTACATGCCTTGCTGTAACTTATTTGGATACTGAGCTCACGTTCCATGTCACGTGTAATAGTGCTCGAATTATACGATCGGTTCGGATTATCCAATTTTTCCAAAATGTGCTCGGCAATTACAGAACTAGTCGCATGTCGATGCACATTTCTGCAAAAATCGATGGAACATGTGTGAACATTATTGAATTTACAGATCACAAAGATTGCAGACTGCTTCACAGTAGAAGCACGTAACATCCACTTGCAGCTGCTGTCGACGTATACAGTGGTTAATATCTTCATGCTTGACCTACTCACCCGAAATTGGAACTTATCTTTCAAAGCAAGTGCACAAATTGTCGAGTACAATTGTTTCTTGCTAAAAAATATTTCCTTTTGGGCAATATCGGATGTATTCACAATTCTCGTCAATTCATATCCATCCGAACCGTTGGAATGTGACGAAGCCTGCTCGTCATTGACGTCAATAGAATTAGCATCCTCTAAACTAGGTGATAGGTTATCCAAGTTCTCATCTAATGGTGCAGTCTCATTATCATACTCGTGTGTTTCAGGTGCATTATTGTTTGACATACTATGCATTCGATTCACAAAATCATGTTCCGCGTTCTGCAGAACATCCACTGCGGCAAATGAAGGATCTTGAAAATTTGCATCCCTTCACATGTCAACACTTGGGAGATCGGATTCCAAAACAATAACGCCGATAGCAGTTTCCTTATGCACTGATATGTACCAACTTAAGTCTTCACTGTCGCATATTTCGACGGAGGTTTATTTAAGTTAGGGACTTTGAACTTCAATTCAATTTAAGCACGAGGATCACTAATATCAAGTTTCTCCTTCAACCTTAACAAAAGTTCGACTGCGGTAATACTTGTTGGCATCAGAATGGAAGTAGTTTTTCCCCTCTCCACTTCCATTCGTTATCCACATGAACAAAATTTCCCCCATACGACACGATGTATCTCAACTAATTACTCATACCTGAAATGTTGGGATCGCAATGGTAAGAATTTAGAATCAATATGTTCGCATTTAATAGCATGAAAATTGCACTGTATAATACGTAAATCAATACAATAGCAAAATGTCAAATCAAGGGTTTCCATCATTTTTAAGTGTTCAAATTGAAAGTAAAATTTTATAACCCGACAGTTTGTAAATGTTGGGTTCGACATCTCAAACGTCTAACCTGAAGGTTTGTAAATGTCGAACTCGACAATTCATGAACCGTCGACAATGTCCGGAAGCAGACGGCAGTGGGTTTCTCAGGCTTCTTCAACACATTACATTAAGTGTGGTCATTATTATTCAGCTACCAAATGACAAAATGTAAATGACATTTGGGCCTTGCCATTAAAGAGACCTTAATGGTGGTAATGGAAGAAATTACTCAAAACCTTAAAGGTGGTAATGACATTTTATGAAGGATTCCAAAACCAAACAAATGATGCATAATACTTTCAAAAGTTTTAAAGAAATATGCCCATGTTGTATTTAACATGTACCGATAAAAAACTATAAAAGTAAAATATAAAGAATTTGTAATTGCTAACCTCTCAAAACAATTGAAGAATCAACCAAATGTCTTATTGATCAATGAAAATGAAGAAGATGGAGAAAAGGTAGGGTTTCTTGCTTATGTTACGTTTTCAAATTTTTTTGGTCATTTTTTATTAACAAAAATTCATATTAATCAATAAAAAATACATTTCTCCATGTTTTCTAAATAGAAATTAAATGATCAGATCAAGTCAATGCATTTCCTTCAAATCAAGCATTTAATGCTACTAGAAATGTGTCATTAAGGGTAATTTGGACTTTGTACCCCAAAAATGTGACATTTTTGCTCACAAAAAGTGAAAATGACAAATTTTTTGGAACTTTCATTTTTAGTGACATTTTTGTAATTCCCCTTCATCTTAAAGAGTCCTTCGAATCAATTTATATCCATATTTGGTTTCATTACTCTTGCTCCCTTCAACATATCCCTCTACTCAACTTGGTAACCTTCTCTGATCCGTTCTTAGCTCGGTCTTTAAACATTTAGAACAACTTAAAGAATAATAAAAAGCTGATCCCACATGCAGGCTACGGTCTTTCCAATATTGCTAGTTGGTCTAGGGGCGAATTTAAAGGGGTAGCCCAGATACAATTTTTATGTGTAAATTTTGTGGGAAAAAAATTATAGCTTGGCCCAAAGTAAAAAATTAGCCCACTTAAATGGATGAATTTTTAGTCCAATTTTTAAAATTAACCCACACACAATTTAACTCTAAAACGTCAAACCCATTTGCCATAATGCCATTCCCTTAAAAAGTCCAAACCTCAACCCAGTAGGTAGTAACCCAATAGTCATACATCTGATCCGCCTCTTTTAGAATCTCAAATCTAAAATCTCCATTCTCATGTTCTCGTTAGTTTTAGAAACGCCAAAGCCTAATTGAAGCTGAAGCCTTTGCAAGCAAGATTCCAGAAAGAAAACAGTACTGGTCATTAGCGGCAACCACGTTTGAGGTATTTTTGTTTCCTATTCATCACGATTCATCATTTTATCTTCATTGAAAGAAAATGATGATTTTGAAAATGTTGATTTGGAGCATAATGGAAATGAAAGGAGTCTAATGAAGGGTGCTGATGCAGGTAACATATTGCCTATAGCTCACTCTGCTTGTAAATATAGTTGAACTGGAATTAATGGCTTACAAGAAGGAGGTACTGTAAAATATTGATTAATGTTAGTCTGCTTGTTGTGTTTTGTCACTAGGCAAACAAGCATACTAAAATCTCTATGATTAGTTGGAATCAATTTCTTCAAATCCTCTATTTTAGACTCACCTTCACGTGTTCTATAAATAGAATTCTTATGTTAACATTTTGAATTTTCTGGTTGCATTTATCTTTGCTCCTGGAAGAAAGTCATTATTTTGTACTCCAATGAGTCTATAAGATGAAGTATTTGTACATCGCATTATCAGTGATATGGCAATACTAGATTGCTGTATTTCCCTTTTTTCCTGCTTTCAAAAGCTGTATTTTCTAATTTGTGTTTTTGGATTGGGGAAGACCAGTCAGTAAAACTGGACCCTTGATATGAATTGTACAATATTTGTTGGCAACGCTAGCAGTTTGGAAGGAATGACGTGTGACAATTGACATGACTGTGTCCACGGGGGTAAGAACTTGGTTCTGTCTTCTTAGGCAAAAGAGGTTGGAGCAAATGGCTATGATATGTCTCAAAGTTCTCCTAGGATTTAAGAAATCTGCTTCCGATCCTGCTCAAACTGAAAGTAATGATTCCAATCGGATAGATCATAGGAATTGTGCAGCACTTGGTGTTATGTGTCTTAGACGGAATTTAATTGAGATGTTAACTCTAGCTTTATACACAAGGCCTTGACATGATTGAGACTATGTTTTTTGTGTACTTTTCTAATGCCAAACTCGTCTGACTAAATTATGTATTCATGTGCTGCAGGTCGACGTGCTATTAACGTGACCTTATACCATGGAGAACGAGTTGCAAAGAACTAGATTTTGGCTGGTAACACCGAACATGGCAAAATAAAAGTGTAAAATCGTATACAGGTATACTAATACTATGCGGGCCAAGATTATATTTTATTAGAAATCCAATATCTCGGGTGTAATTGTAATTGTGAGATTCATATCTAATGAGTTAGCCGGTTAGATTATTTCTGTTATCAATTTTGATTAGGTTTATAATAATAGTTTTGTTGGTATGATTTTACGATTTTCATGTTTTATTTTTTTAAATATAATTCAATATGACTTCATTCGTTTATTCCAGTGACTAGCTCAACAGTTACAAATGGAACATTGTCAATCATCTGGTACTGAGAAGCGGAAAACATTGTTCTCCTTCTTTAAAAAGGTTGGTGAATCTACCACAAGTACGCATTTTGAACCTGTTATAGTTGAAGAGGATACTTCAGTTCATCATCCTCCAATTTCATCTCCTCGATTTGAGCCTAATTTGTCTCCACAACTTGGTTTACAACCATATATTTTGATTGAAAGAGACCTCGAAAAAATGAAGCATATTAGTGAACATCCTATTAATTTACAAGATGAGATTAGACGGGCTTATCTACGAGCAGAGCCTTATCAACCAGTTTTGTTGAATTATCAGAAAGTCAATATTTGGAAATCAAAATCACCGATTTAAAAAAAATGGTTCAATCAGTTTCGATGGTTGGAGTATTCGCCTTCAACAGATAAAGTATATTGTTTTTACTATTTTTTTGTTCTCGAACAATGCTAATTTATCCAATAGTTCAGCATTGGTCACAGATGGATTTAACAATTGGAAGAGGGTTAACCAAGGAGACAAATGTGCATTTCTTACTCACATGGGTTCAAGACCTTCATCATTTCATAATATGTGTGTAAGAAGAGCTGAAGATTTAATGAGACCATTGGGACATATTGATAAAGTGATGAATGCTATAACAAGAGAGGAAGTTCTGAAAAATCGACTACGTCTCAAGACTACAATTTTAAGTGTAAAGTGGCTAGCACTTCAAGGTTGTGCTTTCAGAGGTCACGATGAATCTTCATCATCGTTGAACCGTGGAAATTTTATTGAATTGGTGAAAGCTTTTGCAAAAATGAATATTGAAATTGGAGAAGTTGTATTGGATAAAGCTCCTCAAAATGCTACGTACACTAGTCCAAATGTTTAGAAAGAAATTTTGCACATTATGGCTAATAGAGTGCGACAGATGATTCGTGAGGAGCTTGGAGAAAATTGTTTTTGTATTCTCGTTGATGAAGCGCAAGATGAATCTAAAAGAGAACAAATTGCCATTATCTCTCAATTTGTGAAAAATGATGGTATTATAATAGAACGTTTCTTTGAGATCAAAAGCGTGAGTGACACTACATCATCGAATCTAAAAAATGAGATATGTGATATTCTTGTTTGTCATGACCTTCGGGTTAAAAAAATTAGAGGGCAAGGCTATGATGGTGCTAGCAATATGCGTGGTACTTGGAACGGACTTCAAGCGTTATTTTTTAAAGAATGTCCATATGCTTACTATATCCACTGTTTTGCCCACCGACTACAACTGAAATTGGTTTCTGCAGCCAAGGATGTGATTTGTATTTGGAAATTCTTTTCTCATTTGGACAATATTGTTAATATTATTATTTCTTCTCCTAAGTGCATTAATGTATTACAAACTGCTCAAAGAAGAGAGCTTGAGAATATGTTGGCTAGTGGAGAACGACAATTTGGAAGCGGGATCAATCAAATTGGTAATTTGCAAAAATCAGGCTCTACTCATTGGTTCACATTATGAATCAATAAAGAGTTAGATAGATATATACGCTGCAACTTGCAAGGTACTTAAGTATCTTATAGTTCATTCTCCAATTGGAAGATCTCTTGTTGAGGCTCATGGTGTTTATGAAAACATTAAAAGCTTTGAATTTGTATTCTCATCGCATTTAATGCATAAAATTTTGGGATTCAGTGACATACTTTGTCAAGCTCTTCAAAAAAGATCTCAAGACATCCCGACGGCTATCAGATTTGTCTCCACCACAAAAAAGTCTCCTTCAAAAATTTAGAGAAGATGGTTGGGAAGAATTTCTTAATGCGGTGAAAACTTTCTGTTTAAGAAATGATGTTGATATACCCAACCTAAACTCGTTTTATAAGATTGGTCGTCCTCGTGAAGAAGTTATGCTTGAGCATCATTACCACTTTAATGTTTTTAATGAAGCCATAGATTTCCAATTGATGGAGTTAAATACAAGATTTAATGAACTATCGGTAGAACTCCTTTCTCTCACTGTTGCTTTGGATCCTCGAAATTCTTTTGAATCATTCAATGGGGATGATATTTGCAAGCTTGCAGAGAAGTTCTATCCTTGTGATTTTTCACATCAAGAGCTTCATTCTTTGAGGTTTGAGTTGAAACATTATGAGTATGATGTGATTCGTGATCCTCGATTTCAAGTGTCTTCACTTTCTGAATTATGCAAGCTTCTAGTTGCAAGTAGAAGGTCGGAGAATTACATTGTTCTCACTAAATTGATTCGTCTTGTCCTAACACTACCTGTATCTACAGCGACTACTGAGCAAGCTTTTTCAGCAATGAAACATGTGAAGACAACAATTCGTAATAGAATGGAGGATAAGTTTCTTGTCGATTATATGACGCTCTACATTGAACGAGAATTTGTCGAGAAAATAGATCTAGATTCTATTATCGACGAGTTTTATGCAGTTAAAGCTCGACAGGTACAACTTCAGTAGGTAATGTCGTAATGAAATTTTATGTCGTGTACTTTATAAAATTTTTGCATGTATATTTTAAATTTCAGCCCCCCTCAAC